CTTCAGTGACACCCAACAGCCTAGCTAACGGCCATTTCAGCTGCACGCTTTCACTTCGATTCACTTCTGTGGAGAAGTGAAGAGAGAAAAAAAGTGAAAACATTCACAGATCCCAGAACCCTTCTTTATTGGGAGGAATGGCTTTTAAATGAAGTCAAGCAGTATCTTGTTTTATCATTCATTTATTTAGCAAAGAAAGGAATGAATTCAAATACCCCACACAATGAACACATATCTATTCCCTGATATCAAGATGTAGATTTGCTTGTGATCAATTTTAAATGAATCTGTTTTCTTACTCTTGAAGTCATCTTGTACCATGCATGGATTTGTGCAGAAGCAATATATTTTGGGGTCAATCCTGTAAACACATTAAAATAAGCAACTTGTTATATCCAGACCACTGAATTTGGTGTGGTTTCTTATGTGATGAGTAAAATCATACTCAAGAGCCTAGCTTCCGCCAATCTAACTTTAGGCAGCCAAATGACAGTGAAAATTAGATGTGCATTTCTCCAGGCTCACTGTATTGTTGGTGGAGAGACAAGCCCTCGCTGGGACGTAACTTTGCCCATCCACGGATGTTCTCCCAGACGAGACACACAGAGGGTGCTGGTGGCAGCTACAATCAGAAGTTGGTCAGATGCCTCAAGCAGAGCAAGATAAGCTTGGACCAAACTTTTTACAGAATTGATGTCATACAGCAAGTCATTACACATACAATTAACTTCAGGAATGTGCTTATGTTGCGCTGATTTTAATAAAACTGGTCCCACATTTAAAGAAGTGAATATATTTATTCTATAATGAAAAGGAAAAAAATATTGAAACATTTATTCCCATTAACATTTTTGTTGCATATGGGACCTCTTACTTTCTTTTCTGGCTTGAACAGCCATATGGTCTGATGCTCTGAGAACTTTCTTCACTTAGCATAAGTGCTTTGGTCGCTCTTGATTTGTACATTGAGATAGTATTTTCCCAGAGGTTACTGTGGAGCTCTGATAGAGCTAACTAAATGCATAGTGTCCTACACCCATCTGAGACTTTAATCAGTACCGGTTAATAGCCTGGAAATCAAAGCCATTTAAGCCCCATTCTTTCTTCCACTCTCTTATGAAAATCCTAATCCTAGTCAAAAATCTCTCAATTAGTTTTAGCCAAACCACACTGCTCCAACAGCAGGTGACTGCAAATGGCTGGAAAAGCTTCCACGTAAAGTAACCTTAAATGACCATAAAGGTCATCAGACTCAAATCAAAGTACAAGATAAATCTGCAAGCACAGGAGTCCATTTTCTAAGCAACTGAGGAATGTACGCTATGTATCAGACAGAAAAAATAAGCCCAAAATGTGTACTCAAGCACAATTCTACTTTGAGTTATCCAATGAAAGTAAATACTGTACAGGATCTGACCGGCAATGCTGCTTCCTCCTCACTCCATGTAGCAGGGTGACACAGAAACAGCTTTAAGCAGAGAATTTTGATCTATCTGCTGAGACATTTGCATTCAAAACAAAGAAGCATTTTTAAATTTATGCAATCAGTGCAAATGTGGTTTAGTAATATTAACTATTGGCATCAGAGGTAATACAATTATTTATCCAGAAAAGACCACTTTATTCAAGCGAGAGGATAAGGGGTATTTAAGCATGGCTTTTAATGGGCAAGGGAGTTGATTTTCACTTTCAAAAACAGAACAATGTTGTAAGAACCAAATTTTACCCTCACGCAAATTTGAGAGCTCTACTGGCTCAAACAAGATTTGCAGGCATATGCCCACTTTGTTACATTTTTGGCAAAAGAAAAATAAGAGCTTTCATGGAGAAATCTGCTTTTCGCCAAAATGTATGTAGCTTGTTTTAGAAAAAATGCTAAACAAAGTAAATTGAAAATTAACAGAGACTGCACTTTGCTTTGTTCCGTGTATTAAGAAAGGCTGTATTAAACTACCTGGGCAGCTGTGTAGAACTCAGAAGGTGAAAACACTAACACAGGTGGTGCGTCTGGGGTCCTCTAAAATTACATAAGACAAATATCTAATAGCTTTAAACCTGTTGTTTCAGAATCCAGCTTGACAAGGAGATCTTGCCATCATTTTTTTTGTGTCATTGAAGTGCTGTGAAATTTCCATGTTAACCCTAGTGCTTTAAAGAGACGTTTGAATATACCTCTGCCTGTAATGCAGAACAGTGTAGTTTTGGAAGCTAAATGACAAAAAAAATATTTAGAAGAAACACTTTTCTGACAAGTTGGCATGGTGTTTAACTGACATCACATGGGGGTGCTCAAAGATCTGGAACACCTAAAATACTCCTTTGGAGATGGAAGTGTGGGCAGACTGAGCATCTGCTAAATGCACTTCTACCTATGGTCATGCAGACTTAACCTAGGGTGCTATTACTGCATATTTAACCCATACCTAACATATGCATCTATCCATGAAAAGAATGGAAAGTAGATCACTGTGAAGACAAGTGTGCCTCAAACTACTGTAGAGTTAAAACAAGCTAATTTCAGATAATTTTAATTAAAAAAGGTTAAAATAAAAATACATAGTTCAAATATTTTTAAAATATTGGTCTCATAACTAATAGTCTAAATATAAAATCCATAAGCCAGACTAATGTGCTTATAGTACAGGGGCAGAGAGGAAGCGTGTTGTGCATATGTGTGTATGTGCATGTGCTGCTTCTTACTGGCTGTGGCAGCAATACAGATTATATTTTCTTTATCTATTTAAATGCAAAATTTTATCTTTTGGCATGAACAGAGTGATTCAGATACTGGACCAGTTATGATTTGGGGAGCTTTTTCCCCCTCTATCTGTTTCACTGAATTTTCTTGCAGAGAAAATTTCCTCTTACCCAAGGGCAATCAGCTAATTTCTTCCTGAAAAACCAAATCTAATGTACAGTAAAAAAATCACAAATTCTAGAGAATCAGTATTATTATACTTTCTAGAGATGAACTGGTGCGAAGGTGGAGTGCTTTCTTTTGACTGAGTTAGTACCAGGGAGAACTATTCAGCTGGAAAAAATAGGTGGCTGATCTTTCTTATTTTCATAGATGGTAAATGTGCATTCATTTTACTGCACAGCTTTTCAAAGACCACTTCACATCTTTTTTCCATTTTACTGCAGAAGAGATAGGAAGCATAGTGCTACTTTCAGATCTACCCCCATTCCAAAATGTTGTTCATTGCCTCGTTGGATACGGTGTTTACCCTTGCTATGCAAGTGGTTGGACCACCAAAGTGGTGCTCAAATGCAGATCCATGTTTCTCGGTACTTTTTACTTTTTTTGCGCATAGTTTTGAATCAATGTAATCTATGCATGTGTTTCTCTATTTGCCTATTGTAGCGTAACCTATTGATCAAGGGCTCTAAACACAGAATGAAAACATTTCCACTTTGCTTCTCCTTGCATACCCTCCTGGTACTCTGGTGCGATGATCTTTGCCTCTAGCACGCCTAAAAAAATGAAAGCCCAATCCCTTAATCCTTAATATTCACTTTCAGTTTCTTTTCACAAGCTTCTGAGAATATCAAATGCTGCCTTACTAATAAGCACTTTGGAAAAACTGCCCAAATCCCTCCCCTTTTCGTTTTAGTTATACATCTGGAATTTCAGACGCAAAAACAATAATGTCCTAAATGTGGGTGAAGACAGACAGAACAAAGAAAAATGGTATAAAAATTCTCTGTGTTTCCTCATCTGCAACTACAAAAGGAATTAAAATTGATAACTTAAAACTCAAAGAGTATTTTAAATATTTACATCAATGAAGTCCAACTAGATATTCACTTAAAACACCATACAAATGTTCCTCTAGGGGCTGACTAGCGTTGGTCAGACATGGCAGCGACATGAGACAACATTTTGCAAATACATCTGTGTTTTCTGAGCCAGCTTTGTTTGTCAGACACAAGCATATAAAATAAAAGCCAGAAAGAGAAAAGCAGATCTACGATGATGCCTACGTACCCCCGAAAGCCTGAGACGGCACGCCAAATGCGGCGCGGTTGTACCTTTCCATGAGCAGCCTGATGGCGAGTGCCGCAGCAGAGAAGCGAGCGGGTCCCTGTACGCTCTCACTGGGGAGAGGAAGCCTGTGGGACGCCACAACCTGTGCAAGACCACATGCCGCAGCACGGCTGGTTTACTAATGACACGCGGAAAAACCTTCCAGTGTGCCTCTGCTACCTGCCCTCCTCCCTAGGCCTCCCTGTGGGACATGCCCTTCCACACTCTCCCAAAAATTAAACCCAACTAGGTGAAGGCTTTATGCAAGTGGGCTTGGCCTGCAGCTGGAAACCACCAACCCTGTAGCTTTCTGGGTTAATGACAAGATTGTATCCCTCAGGACAGCTGTAGTCTCCACACTCTGAGCAGGTGAACTGCAGCTGGAGTGGTTTACAGCCCGGGAAGATCAGCCCTACAGAGCCCAGAGCCGCTGCAGAGCATCGCTGAACCACCACGTTTCTTCTTGTCATTGTTCCCAGCACCCTGCAAGCTCTTCTTGGTGGTGTGAGCTTCAGGAGACCGAACGGAAGGCTCCCTGGCTAACAGCAGAGCTCCCTTTTCAAACCTCATGGAAATAAAGGACAACGCCTAAAAAGAAAATGAGATTTGTACTCCTGGCACAGCTTTAAGGGTTAACATTATTATATTTTTTGAGAGCTGAGGAATTACTTAGTCACTTGTTAGAGAAGTCTGACTGGAAGTTTATGAAACTGAGTGAAGCGATGCAATCCTCAGGAGTGGTCCAGCGACACCAAGGGGCTACAGCTGACCCCAACACTGAAGGCCCACTTTGCACTCTGCAAAGAAAACATCATGTCACAAACAGGTGTTTCAGGTTTTTGGCAGCAATGGGACATCGATGGCTTGAAATGTCTCTGAACTTCATCTCTGAAGCCTCAATCACATGAGCAGTCATGTAGCACAGGCCTTGGGGACTGGGGAGATACAAGAGGCCAGAAAATACACAAGCCCATTAGTACTCATCATAATTATTGAAATCTGTAAAATAGGTATTAGAATAAGTCTTTGCAGTAAGATGTGGATTGAAGTACTTGTTTCTCTCCTCCAGAATCAGGTTGTTCTTGTTAAATGCCTGAGGGGGGGGGAAAAAAAAAAAAGATAAGAAAATGGGAAGGAAAGGAAAAACGTAGCCACTAACTGCTCCTCCACCTAGGCAATTTCTGTGGCAAATATCTATGTACAGTAAGTCAGTCAAAAATGCATTGAGAAATATCTGCACATTCACAAAAACTTGAATTTGCATGTATCTGCTTACATAAAAAAAATTCTTATAAAAAGCAATGCAACTCAGTAAAGCCAAGCCAGGCACTTTTGTCCCAATATTATAAAACTAATTTTATGATTCTTTGTTAATCATACATATTCAGTTCTTCCTATTAGAATGATTCACTCATATTTTTATTGCATAAGAATTATTTTTCTCTTTACTGCATTAATTCCTTGATTTTTAAATGCAATATGTAGGAGAAATGTCTGAAGTCTTACGAGTGTAAATCCTGTTCTTTTAAAAGTGATATGGGTAATTAAAGTATGAATTTTCGAAGACTTATTCTGTTTCTGTAGCTATCCAGAGAGATGATTAGTGGAATTTGGAAAAGATTTAAATTAGGTATGCATTCCACCAGTGATTACAAAAGCTAGACTTTTCTTGCCTTTTTTAATGAAATGCTTTAAAACATCTTTAATGGGAAAGAAAAATGCAGAAAATAAAAACTGGATTATCCAGGTAGGATTTAAGAAAATCCTCATATACAAAAAGCTTTGCAGCTGAATGAATAAACTGTGTAATCTGAAGATACTGAACTAGGTATTTTCAGAATGCTCATCCTTCCTTAATTCAGCGGATCTGAAAAGCATAGCTACACTAAAAGGTCTTAAAAAGAGAACAGCTGTTTGGGAACAATGCTCATATGACATCGATGTCATGCCAGACTCTCTCCTAGTGTAAATCTGTACTGCTCATTTACAGAATATTTTGGGTACGAACACTAGCTGAGAGTCTGACCTGGAATATATTCACCAGATACATCTCCTGTATAAAGTCACAGTGCAGGAAGATGAACAGTGCCCTTGACATCGTATAATTGGAGCCAAAGGATTATCTTCAATATATGTCATGACGATTGTTAATGGCCCTATTTACTTCTTGAAGAAGCCACTAGGGAACACAATTAGAAAAAAAAAGCTACAAAACAAAACTTGAGTGGTCTGTTTTTTTCCAGGAAAGGCTGCTGCTGTATAAATTATACATACTCACAAAACTTAACTTTCTGTGTAATAGGGACTGACAAAGGAAAGGATCTGCAATTACAATACCTCAAGTGAAATCTATTTTTGTCATTAACAATCAGCATAACTAGAGTCCAAATGCCACTGCAGAAACTAGCAAGTAGAATTCTTTTGATGTAGCAAAACTGCTGTCTAGGACCATATATGTTGTGCACTATAGAGCTTCCAACCCAGTTCTCACCTTGATGGCTTCTACAGAATCATATTTGTCCAGTTTGTTGATATGGTTGGTAATGCTGGTATTTAGAGGAGCTGGTGACACAGGATGGATGACAGTTGCGTCATGGGACTGTTGTTGATATCGTTGGCAGTAAGTATAAACAAGCAGGGTAAGAAGGCAACCAAGTATTGAGCTACTCAATCCTACTGCAATCATGTGAAACATGTTGAACTCTGCAGAGTGGAGAGCAGAAGACAATCTTCTTTTTATGGAAGTAGCAATAAAAGCTTAAGCTTTTGGGGAAAAATGTAGACAAGTGCTAGATTCAAATGAGGATAAGGGAAATTTCATAGGTTTCCAAGAAACATCTCAACTGCGTTGGTTTATCCCTACAGTAGCAAATGCTTCGTACTTCCCTGAAGGGATCATTATGGGAATCTTAGATACCCATACATCTCTGTAAGTGTTTTGGTTTCGGCTGCCGCCGGCAACAAAAGTACCACGCGGCCGCCCCTCCCCCCGCCGCGGCGCGGAGGGGAATGGAAAGACAACAGGCAGAAAACTGATGCGGTGGCATAA